TAGCTTTAGCGATTCATACTATATGTACAGCTTACAATTGTTTAATAAAGCATACATAACTAGCCTGACAGAGGATTTAAAAAAAAAAAAATTGATCTGATTGTGGGTTAAAAAAAAAAATATTTATAGTTTTTTTTTATTTTTTCTTATATTTTTATAGATATTGTTAAGAATTTGAATTGAATCTAATATATAGTATTTTTATCATAAATCTATATAATTAAAACAAATAAAAAAATTAAATTGAAATTGAATAAAAATAAAAAATTATATAATAATTAAATCCAAATAATTAAGATTTTAATAATAATCTAATAGATAATAATCTCATTAGCTAAAGAATTCTAAACTAAAAAGAATATAAAATATCATTTTTTAAGTTGTATCTAAATAAAGATTTTTTATAAAACAAGTCGAATTAATATATAAATCTACAGTATATACTAATATAATAAGGCAAGCCATATTAACCTGACTAACAGATTAAAAAATGCTTACATAAAGTTACTTTGTACAACTTTTTTTATTCTTCAAATTAAATTGTTTAAATTATTAATAACAATTAAATATTCAAATAGATCATTTTAAACATTTAATGTTTTAGAATTTGCGAGCTCTTTATAATAATGAGAATAATATGATTACAAGTTCGAATTATCTGAAAATATTATTTGAAAAATAAAACCAAATATTCGATAGTTTGGAAAGTAAAACACTATATCTATAGTTTGATTTGATAATGTATGCATACAAATTACACGAATAAATAAGAAACACAGAAAATCCTATCCAAAGAAAACAAGATGAAAATATCTATCCTAACAATTATTTGTTGCCTTAGTATTAAGGATTAAACCAACAATTAATCCATAAAGTCCTAATACTTCTGCAAAAATCAGTATTAACACCATTGTTACAAAAAGCCTTGTTTGTTGTGCATGCGCTCTGACAAACTATTCGGAATTATTTAAGTCAGTATTGCATAATAATATTATTAGAACGAACATAAATCCGTCGAACTTACAGAATCACCAACAATTCCTATTGTGTATCCGGCTGCCAAACCCGCAAGGCCTACTGCAAGACCAGAACCAAGTTGGATAAAACCACTTTCAAAATTAGATAAAAGCAGATATTAGTCAATGTTGGTTTCAGGTAAATTTGCCGGCATTACTCACGTAAAAAGAGAATATGGTTTGGAGGGGTCCACTAAGAACAAAGTATTAATAATAAATAATAAGTTTTATAGATAAATAAATAAATAAATAAAAATGCTACGCACTTGATCCGGATATTAAAACAGACATTACAAGGCCATAAACTGCAATAATCCCAGCCATAACAACAGGAAGAAGAGTCTAGAAAAACTCAACAATTACTATAGTCAAAGAAATTTTCTAATAACTTTACCCATATACATACTGAAAGACTAATTTATTATGCCGAAATTACCTTCATAATAAGTTCAGGTCTAAATGTTCCTGCACCCGCAATTCCGATACCGGCTTTTGCCGTTCCATAAGCTGCACCAATCGCTGATTGATAAAATGTGTAGAGTTCAAATTGAAAAAGATGTCATAAACTAAGGCTACATTAACTAAAAGATGAATAAAGAAAATTACAGCTAAATATCATCTTTATAATGAAATTTGAAAACGAGGAATGATGTTAGTCGAACAGTTTAATTTTTTCCAAATAAGTCATGACTGCATTAAATGAAAGAATTTATACCGCAGATGCAACACCGGCAAAACCAAAAAACGGTGCATATAACGGACATTCTTGACTTGTGGTTATATTCATCGTATCTATATAGGAGAATAAAGAAGATAACGATGAGGTTTATAATTGTGAAAAAGATGAGATCATCGACTGATCTGTATTACACTACAAGAATAAAATTGCATAATTGTTTACTAATTATACTTTGTAGTTTCTTGATGCCTAACGAAACAGTTAATTTAGAATCAGCAGTAGAGACAGCAGCACTCACGATCCTAGAGTTCGTGACACCACCTGGCCCTTCTATTCCGTTACCCAAAAATGACGATCCCAAAGTGATAGAACTGAATCGAAAATTTAATGAAGCTGTGCCTCTTATATCTGAAGGATTTCTGGCGCATTGGTTGCCTATTTTAAACCAAGTTGAAGAACAATTGAAGGAATTAGAGTAAGCCAATCTTTTATGAAATCATTTTCAATTTGAGCCTAATTATGAATATTGTTTTTCAGGGAAAAACAAAAATTTCTCATTGAGGAATTGAAAAACACAAACACTCGATTTGAAAATCAAGATAATTATGAATATATTGCACTAAGTGTCCGTATTTAACAATTTTTTTTTATAATTACAGTAGTTACCGATAGGAATTCATGTATACAATATTTACAATTGAAAATCTCGTTTCTATATTCATATCAATCTGAAGTTCTCTAAAATTCCACTTTATCATTCAAAACTCCAAAATATTCGAAACGCCATGTTATCGATATTATCTCGATCTAAAAATTTGAAGCAACGGGCCTTTCAACTTAAATTGTTCAAAGAACAACAATTGGTACAAGTAGCACAGATAAAGCAGCGCGAAAGAACATTTGATCAAACTGTTTTAGCCGCCAGAGTGGTAGAACATACTCCAGTTGAACAGCAAAATGTGGTCACAAAAGCTATAAAGAAAAAGAAAAAAGATAAGTCAAAAGAAAAAGGAAAAAGTAAGGAGAAAATTATAAGAAGAGAAATTGAATTAGGTTCTTCTACAATAACAGAAAATAGTAATATTTCAAAGGATATAGATGATTTATAAAGTAGCTTCATATTTATAAATAGATGTTATGATATTAAACATTGTACATTCTTTTTACAAATCAATAATTAATATTTACAAAAAATTTATATTCATAAAAAATATAATTTATTTAAATTTTCATTTTATTAATAAATTAAGAAAAAAGAATAATTTCTTTAGTTCTAATATTAAGTAAAAATACTTGGTTCTTTAAAAACCAAGTAAAATTATTATTATAAACTTATTTTATTTTTGATAAATTATTATTGCTTATATATTTTTAAAAATAGATTATCTAGATCTTTAAGTTTCTTAAGTTTTCTAAATCTTTTGAATTACTTGAGCTATACTTAATCATATTATATACTATATTTAAAATAATCTTTACTATTAAAATATAAATAATAGTAAAATCACTTTATTTAAATATTATCTAAAATTAGTTTGAATGATATATATTATTTTAAGAATATTTGAATAAAAATATTATTAGATAATAATTATATTTTGTTGTTAATAAGAATTATAACAAATAACTTGCTAAAAAAGTAAATCTAAAAGTAATAAAAAACAAA